AGGCCCAACAGAGAGAGGATGATGTGACATACGCCATTGGGACTATTGAACATGGTGGCCAAACTAGAGGCAAAGGAAGTGTCTCAGTGGGAGAATGGATTCCCTCAGACGACCTTCCCTCTGAAGCCGCCAGAGAAAGAAGGAAGAAGAGGCACAGCGGTTCCAGAGGTTGGAGGAAGCGGTGCGTGAAGCACAGGAGCGAGAAAAAAACCTTGAAGCGAGAATGCAGGAGGAAATCAGAAGGCAAGTGCAAATAGCAGTGAGTGCAAGCAAGCAGGCATCAGAGCCAGGAATCAACATTAGCCAATCTGTTCAGTTGAAAAGCAGCTGCGCTTCCACGGAGATACCAAATCAAGGGGACACAGGACTGCGCTTCCCTGTGGATGATGTCACTGAACCTTGTACATCGTGTGAGCTACACATTCCGAAGGGGAATTCCACAATCAAGGTGGCTATCGGTCTTGTTAATCCTATCGACCGAACTAAGACACCAAGGATTCATGGGAATATAATCCAAGAAGGATATGCTACTATCTCGGTAGATAAACCTGAAAAAGGTTTTAGTGATTTGCCTCTTGACATTCCTGGAGGTGATGGCGAGAAGACTCTAGGAGAAGCAGAGAAGACATTCATTCTATGGCGCAAGCGCTACATCATCATTCCCGGGATGTCGGCTCCACCTCCTCCTGAACTACCTCACCATAGGTGCGGATAAAAACACTACATCATTAATTTATATTGGCTTAAATAATTAACAATCTGCTCATAATAATATGTCATTCCTTTTTTTGTAGCAGATCCTCCCCTAACCTAAATCCAATTGTTCAATCGCCAGATCATCATAGTGCTCTGCACGATGACATTGTGTTGGAAGGCGAGGCTGCATCCACACCATCTCCAAGGAGGTCTCCAACGCCGCAGCCGCCACCTCCAAGGAGGTCCCCAACGCCGCTGCCACCACCTCCAAGGAGGTCGCCAACGCCTCCCCCGCCCCCGCCTACCAAGAAGCCAAGTGCTAGCAAGAGGCCAGCCCCACAAACAAAGAACCAGTCCTCGCCGGCAAAGAAAGCCACCGTGAAACCAAGGGCTATTCCCAAAATAATATCTGAAGAGAAGGAAGAAGGAATTGATGCATATAAAAAAGATATGTTCAGATTCTATGACAAACTTAAAAAGAATCAAGAAGCAAGGAGAAACCTGGAGAAACCGTACTTCTTCGTAGCTCCAGATATTCTAAGAAAAAAGGTGGCTGCTTACCAGCAACAACAGCGGGAATCTCGTAAGCCGTCCAAATCAACGTTAACGGACTATGACCGCACTCTCACCAAGTCAATTGAGGCGGCACAGAAAAAGAAGCGGGCAGGGAAAGGAGTTGCCCAACTCGGACAACAATTGCACCAATTAGTCCCCCCGCTAGTTGTTGGTAATGAATATGGTTCGAATTTAGGATTAATGCATCAGGCAAACATACCTTCGGATGTCGATTTGGATCACCTTGGTGAATTTATTGATGAGACTGGTCTCGACCTTTACTAAATATTTGGTGATGGAAACATTGAGAGTGCGGTGGAGGTTGATATTTGGAAGAAAAAATTTGTACTAGGCCAGAGTCTATACAACCCTCAAGCCTTATCTGATCTAGGGACGCAAATGTACCTGCTAAACAAGTGGTACATGCAGGCGTCTACCGGTGGAGACTTCTGCGTTGGTGTCAGAATTAGAGACGAACATTGGTTCTGTGGCGATGATGTTATGTATGTTGACTTTGCAGAATTTCATCAACTATGCCACCTGACCTCTCTAGACAAAGTTATCATTAGCTGCTATTGCCTATACGTAATAATTCTTTCGATCTATTATTAAACTCATCATATGTGTGTATATGCATATAAATTATCCTAACAAGTACTATATATATGCAGATTTACAATGACAGAGCTCATAAAGGTAGGCTACAATGAAATTGGTTTTGTTGATCCTCATATAGTATTCAAAGACCCAGTTACTCCAAAGACTAATTGGAAGTCTGAGTCAGAGAGTAACCTCATGAACTTCTTAGTGAACCAACGCCACAAGAAGGATATACTCTTTCCCTACAACTTCAAGTGAGTGTTAATAATGTCGATCATCCTTAATGGCTCATATGTTGATTCTAGTTAATTAATGAGTGTTATGCGTTATATCCTATAAACACATGCAACAATCACTGGATATTGATGGACATCGATCTGGTGAAAAGTCACTTGATAATCTATGACTCGATGAGAAAACCACAACAAGACTACCAAGATATGATAGATATTATCCAGAGGTAATTTCGGTATCTCTAGCAACTATATATACACACAAACATGATGATTAACTATATCTGATGACATGGCAAATTTTTTATTGGGCAGTGTTTGGAAAACCTTTATTGAGAAGCAACACATGGGAAAATGCAAAGCGCCACTAAATGTAATCCCTTTGAAAGTAAGTCCCCCTAAATCGCATCATCTTTATTAATTAAACATATAGCTTTCACCAGATCACCAGATTGGATGACAAATCTTTTTCTCGTAAAGTGGTGTCTGAGGCAGGAACAGGGGAACAACTACTGTGGTTACTATGTTTGCAAGTTTATCAAGGTGGTCTCCCAAAGAACTCCTACAGAGAGACTCAAAGTACGTTAAAAATACACTATATATTTATTTAATTATTATTATTAATTGTGTTACTATGTCTTTATATATATATATATATGTACATATATTAATTTATTTTCCTTTAATTCAAACATGTAGGCTCGATTGTTGGGGAAAAGGTCATACGGCAAGACCAAATCAAAGCAATTCAAGAGTCTATAGCCGGATTTTTTAATGAGCAGGTCATCGATTCCAAGGGCGAGTTCTACTTCGACCTAACACTGCCATGGAAGCCAAGCTAGAGGATGAGAGGAAACTTGTTATATCACAACAACTGTAATGCAATCTTTTGTAATATATGCACATGAAATAATATAATGTAAAATACACATATGCATGCATGCATGTAAATATATATATGATGCATATATATATATATATTTCTATGCTTGAATTGTGTGATTTAATATGTTCATTGTGCTTAAACCGAAACATACTATACGCGCGTATAAATGTATAATTAGCAGCGTACAATACGACTTCGAAAACCTATTTTGAAAAGAAAACAAAATAATGAAAAGAAAAGAAAAAAGAAAAAAAAACCTTTAGTCCCGGTTCGTATTACCAACCGGGACTAAAGGTGTCGGCCATCGTGGCATGTCTGGAGGCACCTTTAGTCCCGGTTGGTGTTACCCACCGGGAGTAAAGGTCCTCCTTTAGTCCCGGTTTCTGACCCGGGACTAAAGGACCCCCTTTTAGTCCCGAATGCTTGCTCCCGTGTGGGGAACCGGGACTAGAGGGGTTCCCCACCGGGAGTAAAGCTCTGTTCTCTACCAGTGATGCCAACATGAACAACAATGTTTAAAAAAATCAAAAAATTATTTTGTGACACAAAAAGTCTCTCAAAGATTGATGGGATTTGTAAATTAGACTTTGTGACACAGAAAATACCTCTATGACGTAGCAAATATCGTCATTGGATGAAATTACACTAGCTATATGCCTTTTTTGTGACATAAAACTTTTTATTGTCACTAAGTCGAAGTACCTAAAACATAATATGATAAGCCGGATGATATAATGACATTATCACCTGCTGTGATACTAAATACGTCAAAAAGCCACATATTTGTTGTTGTGTTCGTCCAAGCAACAAGTAGATGTTGCGCTTGAAAGCGCATGTTGCAATCGTCTGTTTCAAGTGTTTCAGGTGTTTCAGAGGTATGTTGCAAAGTGTTTCATATGGATGTTGCAAAAGTAGATCGAGATGTTGCATGTTGCAATGGTCGTACACATATATGTTGCAAGCTTTTGTTCTCAATATTTTATCTGTTTAGACGTATATTGCAAGTGTGTCTATATGTTTCACACATATGTTTGCAAATATTTTTATCTGGATATTGCCTATATTTTTGCAATGGTTTCAAGTGTTTTTAAGGTATTTCAGATGCATGTTTCAAGTATTTCATCTACCTTCAGATGTATGTTGTAACTGTTGCATCTGAATATTTCAAAAGTAGACACTACGTAAAAAACGATTTTTAGCAACGACTCGATTTTTTTGTAGGGGCGGCTAGTGATGGAGCCGTCCCTACAGTGGCGTGCTCAGGAGCTCAAACACCAGCCGCCCCTACAAATAGAACAGCAGGAGCGGCTGGTGATACGAGCCACCCCTACAAATGGGTCTGATTTGTAGGGACGGCTCACTCACCAACCGCCCCCAGAGTTGCTATTTGTAGGGGCGGCCGGTGATTGAGCCGCCCCTACAAATTTCCGCCGCATATATACCTGGGCAGAAAAATATCTCCCTCGTCCTCTCGACCTCAGCCCGAGACACCGCCTCCGGCTTTTCCCTCGCATCGCTCTCTCCCGTGGCGTCTGCCGCGCCACCCTCTGCCGTCGCCTCCTCCGTCAAGCGCCCGGCGTCGACGACACCGCCAGCGCCGCCTCCGCCTCTCCTCCCGTGGGCGACACCTCGGCCTTGGCGGCAGGCCTCTGCTGCCACCGCCACACGCCGACCTAGGGTTTCAGCCAGGAACCGGCCTTGGCCGGGCTCGGCGGTGCCCGCGTGGTGGCTGGCCTGCTCGAGGAGGTGGAGTGCCACGAACACGCCGAGGAGGTGAGTTCATCTGTAGATCAATCTCGTCTCCTCGGCTCCCTCTCCCTTCCGGCGTCGATTTAAGTCGGGCGCCTTCTTCCGCCTTGGACCAAAGCACGGCGCCCGGCAAGCGGAGAAGCCTAGGGTGTCGATTCCTTTACCGTGTTTCTAGATTATCTTGTCGCGACGTTGAATAAAGTCACCCTTTTCTCCGAAAAAAAAGCCCGATCTTTACGCTTGCGGTGCGTCCTCGCCGCCGCCATTTGCCTCCGCCGGCAATGCGAGAAGCTAAGGTCCGTTCAATGGTACCCGACTTTCCTTTGCGAGATACTAATACATTTTTTTTTTCGCGCGTTAGTGCTTGAATGGATTCTCCTTTGCCATCAGCGGTCATTAATCCCCAGTCCTGCTGCAGATCTAGAATCCGGTGCGTTTCTTTTGTCCTGCACTGCACTAGGACAGTGGAACTGAAGTCATGCACGATTCAGGTACCTGTCTGTTAGTTTGATTTCACCAAATGAATACCTTGATTGATTAAATCATGGATATGTTTCTCAACACAGTGGAACTGAAGTCTGCCTATGTCTCTCAAATGATGCTGACGTTGATGATCTTATTTTATGGATGGTTGGCTTCTTCAGAAAGGTTTCATTTTGCCATATCTATTTACCTGTTTAACCTTAGCAAAAGGCCAAAAGCATGGTCAGAATTTCTAATGTTAGCTATTGAAACCAGCTTTTCTACGACTTGTGTCATCTTCCATCAGGATTTGTTTGCCAAACATCTGGAAGTATCACATTGTTTCATCTTTTTGATGTGCTAATACTTAGACTAGAAAGTGCATGTCTAGAGGCTAAGTAAAATTTGTTCATTACAAAATCATCTGTTAACATTGACTGAAAGAGGAAAAATAGTTTGATGCCTGTTTTCAAATTATGAGATGTTAGTTTTCCACTGCAGTTTTTAAATAAATCATCTGTTAACACCATCAGTGCTATCCCCTTCTTCCAAATAGATCATCCAACAGTTTTTAAACCCATGTTAAATCCTAGTTAATAACTCTTCGTACATATCCTTATCCTTCATTCCATCTACCCAGGAACAATGCTTTATATGAACTAATTTAGTTTTTAACCTTTAATCAATGAGCAGCTGTCTCCAGACACGGGGAATCAATGAAAACTATATCAACATGTGTCTCAACACATCAGTATTAGAATCCTATTAATGATCTTATGGTAGAGATCTGTGGCATTTATTGGCAAATACGGTAGAATTAAGTGTCAATTTTGCACAGTTAAGCATGTCCCTTTTGTGTTGTTGGCTCCAATATTGTCTGAGTTGATTTTTTTTTCTTTCTTAACCTATGCAGATACAAGTGATAAGAGCAGCAGTAAGTATATCTGAACGAGTATGTCTCATTGTCTACTCTAATGTGATCTCAGATTTTACTTATTATTTTTGGTAGTCAGTGTTTATGCTGCAATGGCAAAACAACACGATCCTAGAAGTTGAAACCTCCTACATATGAAAGAACATGAATACATTTAGACTACAACATATGTTTGATATTGTCGATGGCTAGAGATAGTTGATCAGAAGTTCATTGGCCATGGATATATTAGTAACAAGTGTCTTGGAAAAAAAAGGTTAGTAATAGACTAATTGGTGTATATATGTCCTTGAGCTGATTAACTGAAACAAAAAACATAATAGGTCTAAAAGTGATTATCATTTTTCAGCAGTCGATCACATTACGTTTAGTGTGAGTATGACATTTAACTTGAATTGGTTGTGGCATATTTTCAGTTTTGCTTGTTGAGTATCAAGGATGCATGTAACTTGATAATCTCTGTTTTGCCTCCTTTTTTTTCTTAGGCTGACAACAACTTAAGTTCCTGTTTGGCTGTTTATTTTGTACTTAGAATTTAGCATGTGAGCTCTTTGTTGAGCAAACAGGCAACGCTGATTCCAGAAATGTCTGTCTAACACAAGATTCTGATGATGTGCATCATTCTGTTACGGCATTAAGTATTGACCAGCTAGTTTATGGTCTTAAAGACTACACACTCTTCCATGGAAACACTTGCGACAAGTGTGGTGCGTGCTCATTGAATAGGTAAAATAACGTTTCCATCATGGCTGTCTTACAATATGTGTTCTTTATTCCTTGTTGACATCTAGCATCTCAAAAGAAGATAGCTATAATATATGATCTGATCCAACCTGACCTGACTATAGTATAGATAAGTGTTTTCTGTCACCATTTCAAATTAGTTCTGCTTGAACTCATAAGTTAGATGTCAACAAGGAATCCGGCTCTTTCGTACTACTAGTAACTGTGAAGTATTTATTGAGCCGTTTTACTTTGGCTGTGTTGGACTTCTCTGTTATCTGCGTTTTGTTGTTTATAAAAATGGTGCAAATGGCTGTGCGACTGTGCTTGTGAGAAAATTCATCTATCAGGCTAGTAATGTAGCTTACAACTCATCTTGGCTAGTGGTTACTAGAGGATATTTGCTTCTGGTTCATGTTAGGGTGTTGCATTTTGCTAGGTTTGTCCATCTTCATGTCATCTTATTATCTACAAAGCAACTAGAATCTCGGTTATTGGATATTTTGTGTAAAAAATTGCTTGTCCGTTTGATTTATGCTTCTGCTCCGAAATTCTATTTGAAATAATCTTTACCTTTTCTTCTGCAGGATTTCAAGGGGATCCCAGCAGTACTGTGCCCTCACCGTCCCCGAGCTGACCCAGCAGATGTGGGATGTCAAGAACATGATGTGCGCAGCTGACCCACGACATGGGCGCTACCTAACAGCATCAGGCATGTTCCGTGGGAAGATGAGCACCAAGGAGGTGGACGAGCAGATGCTGAATGTGCAGAACAAGAACTCGTCCTACTTCGTGGAGTGGATCCCAACGTGAATTGTAAAATTTTTTTTTTTTTGCGGAAAAATGATTTGTAGGGGCGGTTGGTACTGTAGCCGCCCCTACAAATCGATTTGTAGGGGCGGCTGGTGTTCCCAGACCGCCCCTATAAATCGATTGTAGTAGGCGGCTACAGTATTAACCGCCTACAAATCGATTATAAGGCGGTGGTAACACCACCGCCTTCTAAATAGATTTGTAAAGCGGTCTGGGAACCGCCCTACAAATGCATGATTTGTAGAGACCCTTGCGTAGGGGCGGCTGGCCGAACCGCCCCTACAAATGCACTGTAGCCGCCCCTAGAAATCATATTTGACGTAGTGAGATCAGGTGTTGCATCTCTCTCCTCGCCTTCTGCTGCCTCGCCTCGGTGTCTCCGATCCTCCACCTCCCGGCGTCGGCTGGGCATTCGCCGTCTCCTCCCTCTCTTCTCGATACCGGTGACGTTCGGGATGGCGCGGTGAAAGGACTGTGGGCGCGGATGTCCGGACGCTAGCAGGCCCGATACTAATGCATTACTTGTTCAGAACGACTTGTTTGCATTGTCAAATCTGATGCATGCATCTGAGTGGACCCGGACAACTACTTAGCTAGCTAGGTGTTTCGTAGTACAATAAGCAGTGTGCTAATCGTCAACCGCATGCTCTGCACGCATTCATATATATAGTACTCCTTATATTAACATATACAGTACTAATATGCAGCAGCGTGTTTATAATTATAATCTAGCTAGGCATATGTCTTGTCTTATTATACGCTCAGGTGTACGTTGCGCTAGATTGACATGGCGTTTGCGATCGAGGTGTAGCAAGCACAGGTACCTCGGCCTTGTTTAGATTACAAGTTTTTTCACTCTCTTTCTATCACATCAAATCTTTGAACATATGCATGGAGTATTAAATGTAGATAAAAAATAACTAATTACACAGTTTGATTGTAAATTACGAGACGAATCTTTTGAGCCTAGTTAGGCCATGATTGGACAATAATTGTCAAATACAAACGAAAGTGCTACCGTGCCAAATATTGATCCCTAACCTAATCTAAACAAGGCCCTAATATTTGCTCCGATCTTCTGTTTCCTAGTCAACTCGACAAGCTGATAAGACTTAGGAAGCATGACACGACAGGCGTAGGTGGCAGCTTGGGCCAACTTGCATTGGTGTAAATTAGCAAACTGGTTCTTCGTCAACTTTGCGTACGTAGAGTAGACGATTTCAATCCGATAAACAATCTGCAAATTGGCGGCGGCAGGAATATCCTGGATCAAGTTGCAAAGTGGCGGCGGCAGGAATATCCGATAAACAATACAGTACATAAAGTGGAGGTGTGGCGTCTTGTCGCTGTTTTGACTGGGGCAGGCATCGGTGTACAGTAATGGAAAAATAGTTTCTTCATCGGTAGTACCCCCTTTCTGCATTCCAAGATTGTTTTCGTGCAATAAATATATGGTTTTTAAATGAAAAGGTCTAACATCGTTCACCCAAAAAAAAAGTATTTTTATTTGTATGTTTCACAAGAACAAAAAAAAAAGCATGTCACTAGCTATGTATACAAGTATATATACAAAGGCATCCAGTTGCACTTGACCCGTATGGCATGCATGCATCGGTCATCTCTCGAGATGCAGAGTTGACTTTTGTGGGTGAAGCTGATAACCAAAATCCCTGTCACACGTCGTTCGATGGCTCGGCTCACGGATCTCGATCTAGCAGCTGCGGATAGATAAGTACGGCGTGCATCTTGTGTCCATGTCCATGAATTGCGTCCGCTAGCGGCTCTGTCGTTGTCGTCGTACTGAATCCTTGACTGCACGTCGATCAGGAGGACGAGACCAAGCTGCTGCTGCCTTCTTTTTCTTTGTCCTTTCGTACGTCTGCCCTGCCGCGCCGTTGCGACTTGCGCGCGCACACACCCAGACGGCCAGACCCACGACCCAGCCGCGCGCGTTTTTTATCCGTTCCGTTATGTCAGACTTGTCAATTTTATCGTCTGCCCCTGCGTTTGTGACGTGGCCGGCAGTTTCGTCGCACATCGTACAGGGTACATGTCAGTGTCAGATGTGGGTGGGTTCTCCGAATCATACAGAGACGACAAATTTGCGAGCCGATGTCAATTACGGTGCCGAAAGCGTGGTTTTTAAAGCAAATGGGATTACAGAACTGAATATGATATCTTAGTTCCATTTGGTTCTGAAATACATGCATACATGGGAAACTAGCCATGCAAACGGGATTTCAAGCGAAAGCTATGGATGATGTGCCAGCTGTGGCGCAAGCCCTTGATATGATAACAAAAAAGTCGTGTATGCTTCTGAGCACAGATGGTACAACTCCAGTTTTAGTTTATTTGGAATTCTCGTGCAATTTGGTAAGTTCTTACTAGACAACAACCAAAATTATTTTAAGAGCAATCATCGCTCGATCTTTTTATCCCTTAGATCTAAAATACAGCGTTTAGATCAAATCTCCCCATCTTATCTTCATCAATTTTCTTTCTTTCTTCGCCTGCACTGACTCAATCTTGACCCCTCACCTCCCCGACGACTCCGACGCTGTCCATCATGGCTCGGTCCTAAAATCCATCATACGTGCCTCCTCCTAGATGTCACTTCATCTTCGCCTGAGCTCCTCAACAACCCCCCACCCCCACCTCCAACTCTGACAGCGCCCTAGTGCCACCGCCCCTCACCCGACACCGTTGCCTTTGGTATTGCCTATGATCGCCGCCCCTCACACTAACATGGTGGAGATTGCAAGGCTATCAACGTCACACCTCATCCTTGCCCCACTCAATTGCCTTCCCCATTGTCCGGCCAGCCCCCGCCGCCCCTCTCGTAGCAGCGCCAGGCCAACCTTCCCTGGGTGATTATATATGTGTCGAATTAATATGCTATGCTAACACCACCAATGTCTAAGAGAAACCACAGAAAACCTAAACTCTTATTATTTCCTTGAGGGTCCACGATTTCCTTGAGTGCCCAAATCCAACCACCAAGGAATTTTTCATTTCCTTGAGGGTTGTATTAAACCGCCAAGGAAATGTGTATCCTTGGCAGTTCTACTCGGCCTCCAAGGAAATATGCAACTTTTCTTGAGTGTTGTTGCAAACCGCCAAGGAAAACATCATTTCCTTGAGTGTTGTTGCAAACCGCCAAGGAATTTTTTTTAAAAAAAAATCAATATTTTTTATGAATTTATCAAATGATCTCGGATGAAGAAATGACCTAAACCAAAGTTGTAGTACTCGAAAAGATCTAAAACTTTACCGTTCAAAATTTTTCCCCTTTGAATTTGTTTCGGGTGTCAAATGTGCATTACAAAATTTACTAGACTAAATACAAAAGCAATGCATTAGCAATTGAGTCACAAGTGATTTCGAGGTACAGTGCTAAGGAAGTAACTATGTGAAAGTTGGGGTTGTGAGTTCAAAACTCAGTAGTCGCAGGGTTTTGAGATTTTTGACCGGCAGTTAGTCACCCCAAGAAAAAGAATTTCCTTGACTACCGACTCATTTTCTTGTCATTTTATTAATCTAGTGTATGTCCATATTTTTCTTGACGGTTGGCAGTCAAGGAAAACTTCCTTGAGCACTAGCCACCAAGGAAATTCTATTTTCCTTGCCATCCAGCCTTGGCGGTTCATGCTTGACGGTTGACCACCAATAACTATTTCCTTGGCGTTTTTTCTATATTCCTTGGCGGTTTTTGGCCGCCAAGGAAATTCCTTGCCATCACATATTGATATATGATGAGGAACACATCACCATCCCTGATGATATATAGATGAATCAGTGCACGTGAATTGAATGTTGGTCTGTCAAGCACCGAGCAACCATCCTGTCGATAAGAGACGATGATGTGATCAGTAGCCATGTTCGCACAAGAGAACGGGAATGTGAAACGGGAGTAGAAACTTAGGCACTGACGGAGCTGCCCTAGGGGCGGGGTGGGGCAGCCACCGCCCCAGCTACAGGCAGCGTAGCCTCGGACCCCTGGACCCCCTATTCTTCCCTATCTCCGGTTGCCGAGTACCGAGGACGCGAGCTGCCAAGCAAGCTGCGGCGCAGCGCCATGGATACACTGACGGAGCTGCCCTAGGGGCGGGGTGGGGTGGCCGTTCCAGCTACCGGCAGAGTAGCCTTGGACCACCGGGCCCACTATTCTTCCCTATCTCCGGGTGCTGAGTGCCGAGGACGCGAGCTGCCGAGCAAGCTGCGGCGCGGCGCCATGGATACGACCGACGAGCCGACAAACAAGGCAACGAGCGGATGAATAAGACTCCTGCTAACCCACTGCCGTTTTTTGTCAGTTCAGTTTAGCCCAGTAAGGGCCCAATTTGGCTCTCCAATTCCCCAATCGAGCGCTCACTGTCCGCATCGAGCATCCGCACGGCCGCACCGCAATTCTGCAATCCCCATCGACCGCTCCCGGTCACCGCCGCCTGTCGGTGCGAAATGTGGCCGACAAGTAAATATTTGTAGTTTTACCATGCGCTGTGATCAGATGTGGCCTAGCACGCGATGACACATGATTTATACTGGTTTAGGCAACGTGCCCTACATCCAGTTTCAGTCGGTCAGTGACTTTATTCTTGAGCTCAGGTACTCAAAGTTTGTTGTGGGGTTACAAACGAGTAAGGAATTAGAAGGGGACTCTGATCCGAGTGGAAGAGAGTGATGGATGCTCAAACATGCGCTAAGTATCGGAGCGTATGCTCTGTGTGTCCAAGTTTATCCGCTGTTGAGAGCGTGTAGGCTGTCTCCTTTTAGAAGAGAGCGTATCCCCTTTTATAGATGAAGGGGATGGCCTTATAAGTCAAAGATGGAAAGGGAGAGAGTGTGTACGGGTGCTACCCAGTCTTGTCGCCCACGCCGTCGGGTACGGCAAGCCATTGCCCGCCACACTATTTACGCCGCCATCGCCACCTTACTGTTCATGACCTGCTGTACCTGACAGGCTGCACAGTGTTCGCCTGCGATGGCAAACGACGGCGCCTACAGTACTGTTTGTGCTCTGACGTCTCTGGTAGGCTATATAGTGTCCGTCTGACATGGCCTGATGGCACCGTCCTGCAGGTGCGCAGGGCATGGCAGGGTACGGTCCTCGGTATTGCGGTTGACTTGAGCGCCTTACCTTATTTGCTCCGCCTGCTCCCTGGGCCCACACCGAGCAGGCGTCCTGGTCGGTCGTTCCCAGTCGGCCACAACCGTGTCGGTCGGGAAAGAGAGGCGAGCAAAGGTCCGGTATATCCTCGGTCAGAAGAACGGGGTCGAAGTCGGACTGTGATCCCACCATAGCCAGGCCTTCCAGTCGGGGCTCCGACCAGGTCTCGGCCTGTCATTGTGTATCTGGGCCGGCCCAGACGCGCGCTGTCACTGCGCCGCCTGCCGGGCCAAGTATTGCAGGGAAGTGGCTCCATTGGGGACCCCGGGTTTATGAATCCGACACAGCCACTGCGCCAGCCACAGCCCGCCGCGCTACCCCACAGATGCCGCCAAGCCCTAGGCCGCTGCCAGGTGCCCAGCCCAGCCCAGCCGCTCAGATGCCTGAGGTGCGCCCGACGCCCGCCGAGGAGCAGGAGTCGGCGATGGAGGGAGGAGAGGAGGAGGGGCTCGGGGCAGACCATGGCCGCGGTCAGGTTAGCGGCAAAGCAAGGGCGCCAACTCCCCCAACATCTGGATTTGGTCAAGGCCGAGGTTCAAGCAGAGGTGTCTCAGGGTGGTATTGGCAAGAACAACAAAAAAAATGGTATTGTTCTGTGATTTTTTCAATTCATGAGTACCTGAAATTAGAGCAAGAACATAATAGAGTATGCCAATTTGACAAAATATTTTTGTGCCATGTGAATGCAGTGTGTTGTGTACGATGTCTTTTTTGGTTAATTTTTTCCTGCCTCCGTCATTGAACTTAGGGTGTTATTTTATCAAGTGGGAATGTAAATGTTTTTGAATCGAGAACGTCGATCGACGTTCCTGGAACGAGGAACCCGATCATGTTCCACGTTTCTTGCTGCTTGTGATGTACTACTACCTTCCACGACTCCAGCTGCTCGCCCCGGGCGGTAGCAGTGGTAGTGGCGGCCGCCGCGACGTACGTGACGTGACCCACCCTGCACCCCTTTCCACATTGATTTCACCACTACTACACCCTGTGTGCCTCTCCGTGCTGTCCTTTTCCTTTTTTGTGCCGCCTTGAATTGAAGCGGCCGTACCTGTCTGTCCACTGGGCCCTGTTGCCGGTTGCCGCCATGCTCGCTCGCTCGTTCGTCAACGGCCGGGGGCGTCACCGCAGCGCAGCCCACAGATCGGCGGGGCGCATCGCATATATCCGCTCTCGCTTATCCTCCACCACCGCTCACTTCCTCTCCATCCATCGCCCGTCACTCCGCTTTTCAATTCTATGCCCCCTTCTCCACGCCCGAATAAACCCTTCCCTTCAATTCCTTCCTTCCTTCGCCGCCAAGTAACCATCGTCCACCGAGCGAGCTGGAGGGACGAGAGCGCGCTGCAGCAGGATCGAGAGGCCAGCAGAGACGGTGGACGATGAAGCTGGTGTGGTGCCCCGACACGGCCTCCAAGGCCTACATCGACGGCGTCCGGGCGATCGCGGGCAACGACTCCGCCGACGGTTCGCCCGAGCTCGCCGAGCTCGTCGCCGCCATGGCCGGCGGCTGGAACGCCCAGCTCATCGTCGACGCCCCGGACACCACCCCGCCGTCGACGTCTAGCAGCCGCCGCCCGCCCGCCACCAGCCTCTCGCTCGCCGCCGCCGCGCGACGCACGGGCGGCCGCTACGCCCGCGTCGACGTCTCTAGGGAAGAGTCCGACCACTCCGGCTCCTCGTCCTCCGCCACAGAGGCGGCCATGGCGCGGCTGGAGGCCGTGGACCTTCTCGTGCTGGACGCGCGGCGCCGGGACGCGGCGGCCGTGCTCAGGGCGGCGAGGCCGGGGCCACGGGGCATGGTCGTGGTGCGCCACGGCATCGGCTGCGTCCGGCGTCGCGCCCCCGCGCCGCCGTGGGGGATGGCGGCCGGGACCCGGGTCGTGCGCGCCGCCTACCTCCCCATCGGCGCCGGCGGCGTCGAGGTGCTGCACGTCGGGGTCGGCAAGGGCCCTAGCCTGCCGACGCACCAGCACAGCAGGAGGCCCAGCAGCGGACGTGGGCGGTGGATCCACCACGTCAACCACCGCACCGGCGAGGGGCACGTCTTCCGGCGCCAGTAGCCTACTGCAGCAGCTCCACCGCCCTTGGTAACTGGGGACCAATCAGGCTACGTACAGCTAGCTGGCCACATCAAAGTCAACCAAAGTTCGCGTCCTCCAAATTAACGCGGCTAAGCTAGCCTGCTAGTAGGTGTTTTCTCGTTAGATTCGTTGCTAGCCTGCTAGTACGTGTTTTCTCGTTAGATTCGTTGAACCTACCCGCGATAGTGATCGATCTCTCGTCTTCCTTGCTATCCGGGTGGAAATGTGACGAGTCATTATGTATGGTGTATATATTATTACTAGTACTAGTACAACGATCGACGACCCTTATAGGTCAGGGTCTTTTTGGAAGTCCGGTATTCAATCTAAAACCCTTGTAAATTACAGCTGCTAATATTTTTTTTCAACCCAATCTAGAATTCGCTGTTTGTATGGTCGGTATGCCTAATAAGATTAAACCTGTTTTGAGGCAAAACCACTGGATAAAAATAATCTTCTAATCAGGTCTGAAAAAATAAAACATGACAACTATCGTGGCCTCCTTCCTCTGGCTCGCTTCGTTCGCGTCATCGAGAGGCGCTGCCGGCGTCGCGGCCCTGGCCTCGTCGTCCGCCCAGACCGGCAGACCCTGCCCCGAGCATGGTGACTCCTCCCACGCCGGCAGGAGATCGAGACCGCCGGCCCTGCGATGCCTGGTTGCGCAACCGATCCGCCCGATCTGGTCGTCCTTCCTGCTGCAGCCGCCCCAAGCTCCGGTGAATCTCGTCCTCCCGTCATCGGCACGAGGGGTGGTGGAGTTGCCGTCGCCGCCGCTAGGGGAATAGCTTCGAAGGCTGGCCAGTCAGGGCGGTGCGTGGCGGCGTCCGCGTCTTCATCCTGGCCACAGCCGCGGTGGCGATGGAGGTGCCCGGGCTGATGAAGGCCTGGGTGTACGACGTTTATGGGGACGCCGGCGTGCTCAAGCTGGACGAGGCCGCGGCTGAGGACCAGGTGCTCGTCAAGGTCCTCGCCGCAGCGGTAACCCCGTGGATGCCAAGCGGCGGCCTGGCAAGTTCCGTCTTTCCGGGTCACAGAGAAACACTCCGTGAGCGGCGGCCTGATCTCCGTTACGCAAACAAATACCTCACGGAGAAAAAATTACAGCCGTATTCTTGTGCACAACATATTACATCTGGAAGTTAATTACCAGTGAATAAAAATACAAGGCTGCCAAACAGGGCCTTAGCTACAGTATATAGCTCCTTCCGTAATTTATTTTCTCCAACAAATGCGTCGTCAGTTTTCTCCAGCAAATGCGTCGTCAGTCGTACACTCATACATACTTCGTACACTATTTCATTATAATTTGCATGTATATGTAAATTTTGATCATCCGATCCTATCGCTGCAAAGCCATGACATGATATATATGTTTCATGGTTTCAGCAACTGCTTGCACCTGTCCTCAACTTTGAGCGGTTCTATTTGGATTAGCTCCGACAATGATATTTCAACTAGCTTATAGAGACCTATCTTGTGGAAGATCTTAGCATTTTGCTTGTAGAAGATCATAGAGATCTATCTTGTGGAGGATCCACTACTGAAAACTTGAATTGCTCTGTGGGTGACCAATTTTTCTGTGCGTTTTTTTCGACACCCACAGAAAAATGACGAATTTTCTGTCGGTTTCAAAATATCCCGACAAAAAAATACAAAAACCCACAGAGTAATTATATGATTTTTCTGTGCGTGAGAGTAAACACATGGAAAAAATAAACACTCACAGAAAAATTGAAATTATTGTGTCGGTTCTTTAAATCCTCATAGAAAAAATATATACACGCATAGAAAAATTAGTATTATTGTGTCGGTTCTTTTATAAACGCACAGGAAAACATACACACGCACAGAAAATTGGCGCGTGTAGGAATAGAAAAGGCAGGGAAAAAAATAAAAAACGCAAAACCACCTAGACCTAAATCCTCCATACGCGGCCGGCACCCCACCCCATCGCAGCAGTACGCACCGCCCACTCTCGCATGAGACAGATCCGCCGCTCCCACCTCATCCCGTCGCTCCCAGCTCCAGGTCCGGCGCCCGCCGCCACTCAGCCCACCCGGCCGCCGCCGCTCCTCGGGTATCCTGGTACGCCAGCCGCCGCTGCCCAAGTACGCCGTCGCCCCTGTCCGACACGCCGCCTGCCCCAGATCTGCCGTCGCCTAGCCCCTCCAGCACATGGCACCCTGAGCGCGGCCTGTCCTGGCGAGCGGCCCCTCCCGGCGCGTCGCGCCGCTGGCCACCGCTTGCCCCAAATCCGGTGCCGGCGCCGCCTCTCCTACGCACAGTGTCTCGGGCGCGGCCAATGCCGCCAAGCGGGCCCACTTTTGAAGCCGGCAACGGCGGATCTGGAGGAGCCCGCCACCACGCCCCTTCCATGTCCGCCACTACCCATTCACCGGCCCTCCACCTTCTCTGGGCCGACCGGACTGGAAGAAGGGGAGGAGAGCCGCGAGGGAAGACCACCTGCGCCACCGCCGTTGCCGTCGGTGAGCTACGTATCTGACTGCTTCCTCCTTAGGTCGTGGCTTAGGACTTTCTCCTGGTCAAGATCTCTTGTGATTTGCCTTGTTTGTCGTATCACCAGATAGATTTACATGGACCATTGACAACTTTCAGTTCCCATTCCCTGAAACATGTTTTTGCATTAAGTGAAGTGAGGGTTGAAGGTTTGGAGACCTTGAACTATCTTGACAACTTGCAATCCAAGAATCGTTGTACTGAACAAGGAGATGCAGTTGTATTTGAGTCTGAAGTAAGCTTGTGTTCTGCTAAATTTCATGGTTTGACGCCATTTCTGTACCAATGAAACTCTAATTACATTAATATGTTGTTTTTTGAGTAAGGTGGACAAGGTATATTTGAGTGCTCCGCCAAAGATTGTGATCATTGACCACGAGAAGAAAAGAACATTTGTTTTGAGGAAAGAGGGACTTCCTGATGTTGGTGAGTTAGGAGTTATTAGGGCCTTTTTTTATTCTTCAATTACAATGTTGATTTGTGAAATTCTGGGTTTTAAACTATTATGGATGTTGGCCATTTCGTTTTGCAGTTGTTTGGAACCCTTGGGACAAGAAGGCCAAAGCAATGCCAGATTTCGGGGATGAGGAGTACAAGAGCATGCTATGCGTGGGGGCTGCAGCTATTGAGAAGCCAATTACTTTAAAGCCAGGTGAAGAGTGGATAGGAAAGCAGGAAATTTCGGCTGTACTATCCAGTTACAGCAGCGGACAATTGGATCCTGAACTGATTCGTCGAATGCACACAATATAAAGTTTACCAACGATTGCCTCCTATGTGAGTATTCTGCACTTACTTTATTTGAGTGTTAGCAAATAAATCGTGCCTCCTTTCTTACAGTATTCTGTTAGCCACCTGTTTACTTGTAAAACCATCTCTAGCATAGCTGGTAAAAAAATAATCAATGAGCAGGCACTAGTTAATAAAACCAATATTTAACCTCAAATAGGTTATCGCTGTCACTGTTAAAATGGTCCGACAGTTGGATTTACATGTAAAAGATGGCCAAAGTGTGAGGAACACAGGATTGACATAAGATCTCCGTACGTGTGGTTATACAAGAGAGATTTGTCTTGAGAGGACACAGAATGGAGAGCTATGTTTTGAGGACAGCAAATACAAAAATGTAATTGCAGTGTGCATATAACACTTTGATCCTTTGAGGACAGCAAATACAAAAAAGTAGTAGTAGCACCTTTGATTTGTTGTATGAAGAAACTGCACTGCCATTTTGATTCATGAAAATCACAAGTTGAACTATACTAACATAATTCACGATTAGTAGTGCATCAAATATTTCTTGTACATATATGAGCAATGAGCTGTCAGTTTGATCCAAATGGGAGCTCTTCATTGTCTTTTATCAGTAACTTGACATCTTTGAAAATCACAAGTAGAACTATACTAACATAATTTATTGTAATGTAAGAAATATACATGGATGGACCACTCAAATAATGTCATTATATTTGAATTTGAGGGAGCAATGTAATAAGAAGATTTTACTGCAAAGTTAAAATACAATTTTAACTTGTTTGTTTTGTTACCCTGGTTGCTTTTCAGGTGAGATGCTATGAAAACAGTATCTTGAATATCTTGCATATATCAAACCTAATCAATCATTTTGATATGTGATATTTGCAGAGCTGAGATGATATGAAACCCCAGTCTCGTGCAGTTCTGTGGCCAGTTCAATTCCCATTAGAGAGAGAGAGAATTAAATTAAGTTCCAAGTGAAATTAAGTTGCAGTTGTCATGATGATAATGGGTAAATCTGAGCCATTTCTCGAGTTCTTTTGCTCTTGTTCTTTTGCTCCAGGTGAAATATATGTAGTTCTTGTGCTTTTGATGTACTGCTCTCTGATGGATCTGGAATGACCAATAGTTTCTTTTCTATTAGCTCAATTCAATAGAGCTCGGTGATTTTTGCATTGCTATTTGTAGAAGAACATGACTTTTTTTAATTCAATATATTAGCTAAGCTGACACCTGTATCTGAGCTTGTTTTTGTGCTCCGATTGATGCTAAGAATTAGGACTTGAATGTTTGTTCAGATTGGATCAGGTTTGGCTCCTCTTTCTTGTGTGACAATTTGACTGTCGCCACCTATACATGTGTGCATGACCAACTTTAGTGTTTGCTTGGTGTTCTATACTACTGTGCAGTTTATGTTTAGAATTTGCTGCAATACAGTAGGGTATCGGGGACTTGGGTCTGTCAGTTAACCTTGTCCATGGGATAAGTATGTATGCAACACCAAAGTTTCTGAAATCTGAATCGATGATGTGGTCTAGCAATGCACTTATAAGGTATCATGGATTTCTAGCGCACTGTGGCTCTTTTGCTTTCAACCATGACCACACCCCTTATCCTTTTGGAGTTATAGATATCCATGCATAGCAATGGTTGATCGAATGCTGAACTAGGACAGAGTTTCATGGATTGCCTTCTGACTTTGGTCAAGATATTTTAGGTTTGTCTTTATCATGACAAGGGCTATTATGCCTATAGTTTTGTTTTGGTATTTATCAGTTATCATTGCCTTTATTCAAGTCAGGGATATAGGTGACGAAAATTTTAAAGGACTGCACACATGTGATAGTTTGTATCTAGGTTTTTATATTAATGGACAGTTGTATACACTTTTTAATTTATTTTTATGCCGTGCCTTGTTCAATAGGTGAATCCTTCCTCCTCATTCACCTCAGAAGAGGTTAAATACCTTTGGCAGAACCGTCCAAAATAGCACACTTACGGAGGTGCACGTCTTCCACCAGACACTAAGCACCCCGAAAGCAAGCTACCGCGAGCGGTATCCGTCGGGCACACCCCAAGGGAGAACCCGAAAGATCCACATTTTTCCCAAGGATCCAATAATGAGAACGAGTTACAATACCAGTCCATTTCATACATCAGAGTTTCGTAAAAAGTACATTATTACAATACCAAATACCAGAGTGCGGAATGATAAACAACGGAATTTAAAAAAAATAACATCTAGCTAAGGGGTGAGGATTCCGTCTGAGCCCACCAGAAGGATCCTCCACACAAAGTTACTCTTCAAGCATCACCTGCAATAGGGGTAAATAAACCCTGAGTACACAATGTACTCGCAAGACTTATCCGACTAGTGGGAATAATTTCCCGACTCTAAGGAATATGATAAGTTTTATGGCTTGCTGGTTTTCTTTAGCAGAAAGCAATACTAATAGTGAGTCTTTATTTAGGTATTATTATTATCAGCCATATTAAGTTATCATCTAGACAGTCTATATAAACACATGTTCTACTTTCAAGCAAGAGTTGAGCAATCAGTTCTATTTCTTCTCCTTTTCCACTTTCAGTTCTTACTACGGTGCTAAACCGCAGACAAGCCGTACCGGATTTCCCGACGATTCGCGAATCAATGTGCCCAGCTGGGTGCCCCGAAAACACACGCCCCGCTTGTACCCCAGGCACAAGCAGGACTAACCCATCACTCTCCTGTCCCAGGTGTCCAGGTCCCTGTCCAAACTTAGACTCCAAGCCCCCACTCCTGAGTCTCGGACTCAGTGTGGTGCAAGGACCTCCACAATCCCCGCCTCCAATCAGTCGGTCCAGAAAGAGCCGGATCTGCGACAAGAGAGCAACAAGCCTTTCCTGTGTCCATACCCAAGTATTCGCTCGGGACAATAAATATGTGACTTGCCTAGAGTCATATGCAACGATCGGTCCTTAATCGACACGGACAGGAAAAAATTGTAACCAAGTCATGCCCTGTTGGCCGTAGGACACAATCCCTTACACCCACCAGTGCCCAATCCATATCCCTGCTCGGTCACCATTTTCCTTTCCACCATTTTATCATGAGTGATCATATTTTATTACCTATTTGTGAGTAACGGCAGGTTACTCACGATACCAAATCCTGAGCATAGCAGCTACCCGACCTGTAATAGTAGGACTCATGGGTAGGTATGTTTATGCAAGTAGTTTCCATAAAATGCCTATAACTTACATGCACATCACATATATATATTCAGTGATCATAAAAATATGGGTTATGCTCTAGGGCTTGCCTTGGGCAGGCACCGGGTCAGCAGGGTCAGCACCAACAGGCTCCTGGGCTCCCTCCTGCATGAGGATCTCCTCCTTGTACTCCTTGATCACCTCATCGTACTCAGGCTCATCGACTGGCATGAAGTCTACCAGTTCGTGATCTACATGAAATGATGATGCAATGTTTAATAATATAACACAGCAACTCTTAACCAAAAAGTACATATATTAAACTACTAAGTGAGGTCTACCCACTAAAGGCTAAGCTACGTACCATCACCACTAACAAGTATGAAACATGATGCACATCCTTATAACAACTACAGGTATTCTTACTCCTAATACCGATTTAATCTAGATACGCTAAAACAAGAGTAATAGCTATTTATTTAATAACCCATTCTAAGGCTACAACATTTACAGCAAGTACATAACAACCTAGTGGATCTACTGTAAAATTTTTGTGGCTATATCTATCACCAATTATCCACAAATATTCCTACAAGTATTAACCTACCTAATATTAGCTCTCTAGTTTTGAATTTATGACCCAATACTCATCACAACTAATTGCAATCCAACTGTACTATCAAGTAGATGGTATTTTTGCGAACCTAACAAAATTAGTCTCACTATTTTTGGACAACTACGCAATTTACAACGATTTATCGAAGTTCGACTCATAACTAAAATAAATAAGTATTTCTACTCTTCTGGAAATTAAGAAACCGAATTCTACACCTCGGCCCAACTCGCGCGGCTGGGCCCGCAACGGCGCGATGCGCGCGCCAGCGCAGCGCGGCCCACGCGCGCGTGGCCCAGCCGGCCAACGGCCCACGACGGAAGAGAGACCCGCGCGCGACGACATCATGCAAAAACATCCCCGAACTACTTGGCATTTACAGCGAGACCTATGTCACTATTTCACTAGTCTACGTTTTTATAGATACGCCCTCCCCCTCCTTCTTTACCATGGCAACATCCCCCGGCACCCGTGCACGCACTGGTGCGATGGCGTGGGCTTCGGGCAGCCACACCGGCGTCATCCGAGCCTCTAAGGCCTAGCTAAGGGGCCGATGATTACCTCCACGACAACGCACGGTGGCTGGAAGCGATACGGCGAACAGGGGCGTCGTCCTAGGCTCCTTCCCCGGCGGTGATCCCTGACCTGCGATGGCGGGTACGTTCCCGTGAGCCACAGCGAAAGCGAAGCAAACCAAATAGCTAGAGAGCTCGAGGAACTACCCACGAAGACCCTTGAGGTGACGGTCTGGCCGGAGAAAGCCCGAGGTGAGTTGGCCGTGTGCGCACCGACGATGCGATGACGCTCGGTGATGGCGCGGCCACGTCGGTGATGGCTGGCCTGCTGTAAAGCTATGGCTGAGGTGCATGGGGTGCTTGGGAGGGTACGGCTAGGCTGATGGTTGTGGATGAAAATGGAATGGAAATATCCCAAACCGAACCGCATCGTTTTCTATATTTAATCCGATCGAATCCGCATTTTCTTGTCTGACTTTACCTTTTTCGCTTTCGCATTTCAGATGTTTCGTATTTCAAATGTAAAAGTAGAAAACGATTTAGACATTTTTCGACCATTTTCTACTTTTCTACTTTTAATTTGAAATATTCCGAATTGAAAATTCGGTTTAAACCAAATTTGGCCAACTGCACAGGTCATACAGCCCAATTACAGGTTGTTTACCACGCAGCTGCGT